CCCCCACTGCTGGTTTCCGAGGGCATCGTCGGCCCGTCCACGGCCAGTCTTGGCTGCTCCCCAGGCCTAGGTCAGCCCCCTTTAGGGAAGCCTCCACCCTGAGGCTGACAGCCCCCTGCGCTGCCCACCCCCAGTGTCTCCAGGGCCATGGGGAGGCGATTCGTGGAGATGTCTCTTTGCGTGTTCAATTTCAAATACAGAAATGATCACGGCAATGCCCCATCCCTGGTTCGGGCCCTCCTCGCTGTTCGCTGTTGGTGGCGCTGGTATCCCTGCTAGAACAAGCTGGTGGCGGGGGGGGAGCGGGTGTCCTGAGTCCAATCCCTCTGCCTCCCTGTCCAGCCTCTAAATGCACCTCTCCCTGCCTTGGAACACTTGACCTCTGCTCAGAACTGTCTCTCCACCAGCTCCTTTCCACGGGCTCCAGGCCAATGAGTGGTCTAAAAGGGCTTCTGCCCACTTTGCCTCTAGGGCCTGGGCAGCTGAAGGCACCCCAGAGCCCCCTCTGCCTGGAGTCCCCTGATTCCACACAGACTTTCCACAGGGTGTGGGCCACAAGCAAGGATAGCGGTAGGTGACAGCCAAGTCCCACCAGAAAGGGGCACTTCTCTCTCTTCACCTAGTCTGCAGGGGCTCAGGCACTGCTCCTTTGGGGAACCCCACAGCTCCCAAGCCTGCACCCCGATGGAACCCCCATTAGCAATGCTGCCAAGATCACAGTTTGCGATGAGGACAACTGAGCGAACAGGGTGGACCTGGGGTACTCTCTAACCCTTTCTAACCCTCGTGGTCCCTGGGTCACCATGCCCTGGGTGGCCTTCCTCCAGGGGTGCTGCTGGGACCTGGGGACACTGGCCAACGGGAGAATGGTCAGAGGTGCCTGGGGACAGTGGCCAACAAGGCAAGTTTCTGGCGTGCTCCTCTCAGACACCATCTTGCAGCCTTCCCAGGCCTACCGAGGGCGTCTACTCATTCCCAGCCTCCGGAGGCTCTGCAGCTCCTGCCTGTCCCTCACGTTCTGTTGTCTTCCAGGTCAGGCACAGAGGCGGGCGGGCAGGTGCAGTGTACCGGGTGTCGCCGCACCTTGCTTGGAATAGGGAGATTCCCATGCTGGGATAAGGACATGCGGCCCTCATGGGGGCTGGGCAGTGACATGGCATGACGCCCCTCCCGTCTCCACAGAACAATCATCCTTCCCGGACCATTTCCAAAGTGTCTCTGAGTCACAGAGTTTGCAGAGGCTGCAAACTCCAACCAGCTACAGTGGTTTCTGGGAAAGCCTAGGATCAGCTGTAAGCACCCGGGGGCAGGGCAGATGTAAGGGTGAGCCCGGCCATGACATTGGCGAACACGGCTGGCCATCCCAGTGACCTCCTGGGCAGATACTGGGTCAGGGCTCAGACACAGTGGTGGGAGGCAGGTGGAATGACCCGCTTCTGAGTCCCACCAGTTCTGAGGGCCACCATGGCAGAAGAGAGAGCCCATATCTGCAGTCAGAACACAGGCCTGGGGACAGCTCTGTCCCCCTCCACAGTTCTCATCTGCAAAGCAGGACACCTGCACTTGACCAACACAAGGACTCCCCCCTTTTGGGTGCTGATGTGCCTGGGGTCCTCTGGGTGCCCAGAGTTCCAGGGTCTGAGATGCTTCTTGCTACCCCCGAGTGAAAAGAGTGCTGTCTCACGCACCTGTTCTCCCTTTGGACCTGAAGATCCCTGAGGACCAGGGAGACCACGATCGCCCTTCTCACCCTGCTCGCCTGGAGGTCCGATGAGCCCGATGAGGCCTGGGTGACCCTGTTGGAAAATGAAGACAGGAGTGGGCCTTGGAGTGGGCCCTGCTGCAGGCCCGGCCATGGGAGCCCCACCACATACCCAGCCACAGTGGGCCAGCTAGCGTGAGGCACAGCCGAGCCGTGGGAGTCACCGACACAACCGTCAGCCTCTCCTGGAAGAGGAACAAGCGCAACGGACAGGTCCAGTGACAAAACAACAGGTGACGTGGCCCTTCAAGGACCACAGTCCACCTAAAAACAGAGAGAGAGAGAGAGAGAGGGAGAGAGAAATACAGACACAGACCAGAGTGATAGGGGCTTTTCCTGAGTGGTCACTTTTTTTTTTCTGTTGCCCAGGCTGGAGTGCAATGGCACAATCAGGGCTCACTGCAGCCTCAACCTGCTGGGCTCAGGTAATCCTTCTGCCTCAGTCTTCCAAGTAGCTGGAACCACAGGTACACGTCACCACGCCCAGCTAATTTTTTTATTTATTGTAGAGACGAGGTCTTGCCAAGCTGTCCAGGCTGGTCTCGAACCCCTGGGCTCAGTTGAGTGGTCACTTTTATGTTTGCTTTTCTACTTATATACACTTTCCAATTTTTCTATGATAAATACATATGCCTGTTCTTAGAAAGAACTAAGACCAAATTTGTGGACTAAGGGAGAAAGAGAGTATCAAATGTATCCTTATAATTTGTTATGCTTTTTATTTTTATTTTATTTTTTAGTCAAAGACCTACTCTGTCGCCCCAGCTGGAGTACAGTGGCACAGTCAGGGCTCACCACAACTTCAAACGTCCTGGATTCAAGCAATCCTTCCACCTCAGCCTCCCGAGTAGCTGGAACTATAAGCATGTGCCACCATGCCTGACTCATTTAAAAATTTTTTTGTAGAGATGAGGTCTTGCTATGCTATCTAGGCTGGTCTCGAACTCCCAGGCTCAAGCAATACTCTTGTCTTGGCCTCTCTAAGTGCTGGGATTACAGGCGTGTGCCACCACACCCAACCTGTTACATTATTTATAAAGAAAAACCCACGACATATGCTTCATATGTTTGTTTATTTTTACAGGAGCTCATGGAAAGCTCTGGAAGGATTCCTTCAACTTTCATGACTATGGACATTAAGTGGAAAAAGAAAGTCCATGCTGCCTTCTGCTTCTTACACAACTGCTTAGCTTGTATGTTTCATGTTTGTAAATAAATCAAAGTAAGTTGAAAAAAGTCACCACCAATTAGCAAAAATTAAAGGGCTTTGCTCTTGCTGTAGAAATCCCTCCACACCTGCTGCGGGAAGGGTCTGAAACCACCATGCCCAGGGGAGCATCTGTTCCTGGGACCCAGGAGGCCGTCAGCTGGGACCTCTGCGCCCAGTCAGAAGGTTCTCTGTCAATACTGCAGGGACCTTGGGGATCATGCAAACTGCTTAGGATTCCCTGAAGGGAGGGGCCAAGTCTCAAGAACACTGTGAGTGGTTTTCCCTTGTTTGACCACCTCTCCGGCTGCCTGTTACCAGTCTGCAGATATTGGATACATTCAGGTGATGGATCAATAGTTTGAAGTCTAGGGTATTTGAAAGTCCCAAGCTACGAGTACAGGGACACCCGAGGTCTCTTACCTTTTCACCTTTGGGACCAGAATCTCCTTTGAGGCCAGGGAGTCCTGGGGGACCCTGTGGGTGGAGACAGAGGGATCAGAGGCCTCATCCCGGAGGTTCCCAGCAGAACCCTCCCATCCCACTCTGCCACAGGAAATATCACTCACCATAGGGCCAGGGGGACCATCCGGACCTGGGGATCCCGGGAGACCTTGTTCACCCTGAAACACAGAAACCCTCTCCGTGAGTCCATGCCCCTCCACGTGTGGTCCTTCCGCTCCTTCCCAGGCAGGCTTGGCCCACCTACCACAGGGCCGGGGATCCCTCGAAGGCCGTCAGGACCAGGCTTCCCAGGGGCCCCCTGGGGGCCGATGGGGCCAGTCTTCCCAGGAGGGCCTTCCAAGCCAGCTTCTCCCTGCAGAATGGTGAGAAGGAAAGACTGGTATCGCGGGGCACCAGGCACCCAGCTCATGGCCACTGCTCAGAAACCCGGGATGCCTCTGGGAGGACCCCGGGGGCCCTCAAGTATCCGGGGTTGCCCACGTTTCCACATTCTTCAAAGACGCTGCCCTGGTCAATTCTCCATCCTGCTAATTCCTTGGCCAACTGGGGTCTCCAGACCCCTACAAGTCACACCGGCCATGGCCGCCATTTCCCCAGCAGGAATGAGGCCACACAACCTCCCCGGCTTTTGCTTAACACAGGTGTCTCCGGAGAGAGGCAGACTGTGTCATCCTGGCCTGCTGTCACCTCTCTACAAGAACGGACTTCCCTGTGTCCCAGGGCCCGTGCTAACTAAACAGGCCACAGCACCCCATCTTTTCCTGGGCCCCCTATAGAGACACTGTTGTCACCTCCATGCCAGAGGTGGGCAGCTGGTCAGAGACCAGGCAGAAGGTCTCATGGCTCTTGGGAAAGGCCCGACCTCCCTGACTCCTGCACCTACCTCACCTCCTCCTCCCTTGGACTGGCATGGCAGATGGTGCCAGAATCATGGATCCCAGTGCCCATGGCCACCACCCTGCTGCCTCCTGGAGAGAGAATCAGTTCTCCTCCCAGGCTGGTCATGGGCCACGTGCCCCCGAGGAGGCCACTCTCAGCTTCTGTGACCTTTTCTGCCTATACAGGTGTGGACCCCTCGCCCACTCCGCCCCCTTCGGAGAGGTCTACACTGTCGCAGCCTGGCCCCAGGGCACATTACCTTTGCTCCTTTCTCTCCCTGTCTGCCTTCAGGGCCTGCAGGTCCTGGGGGACCCTAGAAGAAGCCAGAACAATAAGTGGTGAGTGCGGCCTGCCACAGCAGAGGGGAGAGCTTGGGGGTGGACACGGGCCTGGCTGGGAAGGGGAGGGAATGGCAGATACTCCTGGCCACCCGCCCGCCAGCATGGACACGGGCCCCCGGCACAGGTGTTAAGGACTCTAGTCCCAGATAAAGCCCTCTCGGTCCATCTGGGGAGGCTCTGGACAGCCTCCTGCCCCAGAGGTGTGCATCAGGGCAGCCCGGGTTATCACAGTGCCGGCACGTGACTAGGTGATTCAACACGCAAAGAACACCTTCTCGCGTGTGCTGACTTTTCAGTAAAATCTGAGCCAGGGAGAAGGAGATTTTTGGTGCTGTGGGTGTTATTCTCCCATGATGGAGAAGACTGATGGTGTCAGCAGGCCTCATCAACCTGGCATGCCTGGGATTTGATGGCATGGCTTTGAGGATGTAGAAGTTAGTTAGAACTCACTTTAGTGCAAGCATCTCCCTCACAGATGCTGCTGAGAACACCCAGAACTAAGGAAAAAATGGCAGGAGGCAGGGGACAGGGGGGAAGAGGAGGTGTGCTTGGGGCAGAGAGTTGACAGCAAGGACAATGCTTGCGGGATTATTTACCCGTTTTCCTGGAGGCCCAGAGGGACCTGGTTCACCAGTAGGACCGGGGGATCCCTGGTATTGGAGAAAGAACACAAAAACTTATTAGAAATTGGTACTCATTATGATTCTGTTATGAGGCTGGGCATGGTGGCTCACGCCTGTAATCCTAACACTTTGGGAGGCCGAGGCAGGAGGATCGCTTGAGTCCAGGAGTTTGAGACCAGCCTGGGCAACATAGTGAGATCTTAGCTCTACCATAAAAAAAAAAAAAAAAA